GGTTTGCAAGCTTCAAAGGTCCATTTATGGACTTAAACAAGCTTCAAGGAGTTGGACATTCGGTTTGATGAAACGATCAAAACGTTTGATTTTCATCAGAATCCGGATGAACCATGTGTTTATAAGAAGGTTAGTGGGAATGCAGTTGCATTTGTTGTTCTATATGTTGATGATATCCTACTCATTGGGAATGATATAGGAATGTTACAATCAACACGGACATGGTTGTCTAAACAGTTCTCCATGAAAGATTTGGGAGAAGCATCCTTTATCCTAGGGATAAAAATCTATAGAGATAGATTTAAAAGGATGATCGGACTATCCCAGTTTATGTACATAAATAAGGTACTAAAAAGGTTTAGTATGGAAGAATCCAAACGTGGATATATTCCAATGAGTCGTGGGGCTTCACTTTCTAAAACGATGTCTCCAAAGACACCTGAAGAAAGAGAACGGATGAGTCATATACCTTATGCATCAGCTATTGGTAGCATTATGTATGCAATGTTATGTACAAGACCTGATGTGGCTCATGCACTTAGTATAACGAGCAGATATCAGTCTAATCCAGGTGAAGAACACTGGAAAGCCGTTAAGATGATTCTTAAGTACTTACGAAGGACTAAGGATATCTTTATGGTATATGGCAATGCAGAATTGAAACTAGAAGGCTTTACTGATTCTGGTTTTCAGTCCGATAAAGACGACTATAAATCCATGTCTGGATACTTATTCACTCTGAATCGAGCAGCAGTTAGTTGGAAAAGTTCCAAACAAGAAATGATTGCTGACTCTACAACAGAGGCTGAATATATTGCTGCATCTGATGCTGCAAAGGAAGCTGTTTGGATAAGGAACTTCATCCAAGGGTTGGTTGTAGTACCATCTGTTGTTGATCCAATAACGATTTATTGTGATAACAATGGGGCTATTGCGCAAGCAAAGGAACCAAGATCTCATCAAAGATCCAAACACATTATGAGACGATACCATTTGATTAGAGAAATCATTGGTAGAGGAGACGTCGTAATGGAGCGAGTCGACTCAGCAGAAAATATAGCAGATCCCTTAACTAAGCCTTTATCACAGAAAGTATTTGAAGAACATCTTGAGAAGATGGGTCTAAGATACATGAGTGATTGGAACTAGGGCAAGTGGG